AACCATGAAATTGTCATTTTCTTAGAAGCCCAAAACTTAACTGACATTTATATAGTTTAGGGGGGTTATCTCGAAATCAGATTAATTTTAAGGGGATTTTGTGAATTTCACCATTTAACATGTGAAATGTTTGACTATCATACTTTAAGCTATCCTTTGGTTGTAAATACTCAGTCCTACGAAATGAATAGTTTGTGGATAGGAGAAATGCAGCAAATTATGTCTGATTCCAGGCATGGTTGGTAATCAAACCATTTAAATCTTTTTCCTAGTTATATGATTTCCTTAATATGAATGTAATCAAATTTTGATTAGAAATCATACTTTTCTTTGACCCCTTAAAGCATATATGAGCTGCCTCTGAGATCATTGAGATTTAATGTACTCTGTGTTTTGACTGCTTACGATCACAATGGACGGTTTGGATCCTTAACTATTATCATTTTCTACCAGGCAATTTCACTTTTTGCATTCACTTTTAGGCTTGTAGCTATAACCATAATCTTCAAATAACCTTTTCTTGCACGTGTGTCGAGCTATTGTCAAATTGCAGAAATGATACTGTTGAGTTGAGTGCTGAGCAAGCTGATCTTTGTTTTTAGGTCATGAGGGCTCCTCTTTTATTTATTTTATTTTGCAAGCTAACACTCTTGCATTTCTTGGCAGCGTAAGTTTCGGGTGATTATGAAAGATGCAGAGCGTTAGCTTGGATATGTCTTTGCCCTTGTGGAGCCACTCATGATGGTGACATTTATGAAGCCAAAGCTTCAATGTGAATATTTGGTGCAATCTTATCTCTTCACAGCAGGCTTTTATGACCAAGCACAAGGCTCTTATGTTAGCCTGGGTTGATGAGAGTTAAATTGGATCACTGTCAATCTTCTGTTCTCTTCTGTGGGTTTTAGTAGTTATTGTTACTAGTCATTGAACATTGTTGATGAGCTTTGTTGATGAACTTGTTGTTTCCTTTTTTCTCATTTATATAGTTCAATTTATCAGTTTCATGTCCGCTTTGCTTCTGGGTCTAGTGGAAAATCACTAGACTTGTTTTAAAACTTTTTTTTTTAATTTTTATGGGTTCTCCAAGTATCTTTGAGCATGAAACTGCCTTTGATTTGCTGTTACGAATTCAAACTTAAATTATCTCCAATAATTTTGCAATTTTCATTTAGTTTTGCTGAATTCAGCAGTTTTCTGGGCTGTTATGTACCCAATTATTTTACATGATTGCTGGCCTTTGCACAAACTATTAGTCATCAGTCCTTGTTGTCAAAATTAAGAAGAAAGGAGTATCAGTAGGTAATTGCCTTGAGTTTTAGGGGGTGTTTGTTTTGCTTTTTTTTTGGGATATGATAGTTTTGGGATGTAAAAAGTGCTTTTTTGTGGTTTTAAAAATCCATAACTTTGTTTGTTTCACTTTTTTTTTGGGATATTGAATCCCTAAATTATAAAACAATAATATTTTATTAGGATTTGTGAAATCCTCTCTCTTGTTTTCATCTTTTTTTTGGGATATAAGGTTTTAGAAATCGATAACTTTGTTTGTTTCAAAACCAATTTTGGGATATCAAATCCCAAAATATTAAAAACTATTATATTTAGGCATTTGTGAAATTCTACACTTGAGAGAGGAGGTGGGTTGGATATTGATGTATTAATGCTTATAATATAAGATTAATATAAGATTAATATATTATATATAATATTATAATAATATAATATTTAATATAATACATCTATATATATATATAAAATTATATATATATAAATAATATAATATATATATATATATATATATAATATAAATTATATAAATTATATAAAATAATATATAATTTATATATTACAATATATATTATATATTATATATAAAATATATAATATATCTATAATATTATATTATATATATATATATATAATATAATATATGTTATTAAAATTTTATATAATATTATAATATATAATTTATAGTATTCCAAATCCCAAAATATTGATGAAACAAACAAAATATTACAAGTTTTAGCATTCCAAATCCCAAAATATTGTTGAAGCAAACACAACCCCCTTTATGGATTTCAAATCCTAAAAGCCACATCATTTATGGATTTCAAATCCCATTTTGAAATCCCAAAAAAAAAATCAAAACAAACACCCCCTTAAAAGAAATGTGACCAGAAATTTATTCTTTTTGCATCTCCAAGTGCCCTTTCTTCGGATGAGCTATGTGGGAAATCTATCCCTTTCTTCTTTATATCTTCTTTATATGTTTATTTAGCAGCCACTTAAGCCATTTTATGATTTCGCTATGACAAATCCCCACTAGATTCCAGTCACGGTACTCCATGGAAAAAAAATCATGGGATTTTATCATAGATTATGTAGCGCAAACTTTACCCTTGTTGCCATATCATTGCTATTGTGGATGCATCTTTTTAGAATTTGTTACTTGTTGACGTGCTGTCCTTGTTGGGTTGTATCTCTTTCCAACAGAGGAGAGCTTCCTGTTTGGTTGAGGAAGTGAGATGTCAATATACAAAGTCTCAAGTGAGATGTCAATATACAAAGTAGCATTTCCATCGGAACCATACGCACGGTGCAGGGTTTTCAGAGCTATGCGTTTGAGATTGTAGAGGGGCTGTTTGGACTTTGCATTGCCCCCTGTTTGGACTAAATAACCCTATATAGTCCGAGGTTCTGATAAGACTTTTACTCAATATAAAATAAGATTAATGGGTATCCTTGACAATGAGGGTGATTCCCTCATTGACAATGATGTGACACAATTCTCATCATATAAAATTCTCTCTCCTACTTTTTTTCTCTCTTCTTCACATGGTGATGATTGTGTCATGATAGGCAAAATCTGCAAGCGCACAGACTCGTTGTAGCTATCAAGGTCGATCCCACAAGGACTAGGGTTAATTACCAAATCTCACGTTATTCGACTAGCTAAATCAATGAGTAAATTAGAAGAGATTTAATAAAAGAAATAAAATAAACAACTAATCGGATGTAATTCAATATAATGAAGGACTAGGATTGGGTTATCACCACAACTTAGGTGTTCAATGATGGATTATTTCAATTCTTGGTGTTGGTTTAATCTAAAAAGGGTGAATTAGCCTAGATTAATCTAAAGCCTCTTTCAAGGTCTAAAGATCGTGCTTAATCAATCTCAATTAACCTACTTTCGTGGAATCAAGATTAAATTAAACCCATTAAGCTTTATGCTAATCCAAATCAAATCCCCAAGGAATCTAGCCTACTTTCGTGGTTCGAGCTTCCTGCTTAATTTCTAGAGATCCGGTATTAATCTTCACCTTTCAGTCCTTCAATTAATTACCTATGATTGCTAATACGGTGATCAAGCGAATCAACACGATTAAAACACAAAAAATTAAGTTTAAAGATCTAAACTTTCACCAAGAACATATATTAATTCATCATCAATCACTAAAAAGTTGGGTTCTTTCCCAACCCTAGACAAGAAATCTACTCACACATGATTGGAATAAGAGAAGACATCAAATAATTATGCAAATCACTCATAAGAAGAAATAAATCAAAGAGAGGAAAGAATTAACCCGTCTTTCAATTGAAATCTTCAAAATAAGAACTTGCAATCCAATCTTCTACAAGAGATTAATGTCTTCCTTCAATACTTGAACCCTAGAATAGTTGCTAGTTGATGGCTAAAAGAACATAACAAAAGATATCCAAAACCCTAAGTCAAAACATCTATTTATATGTCTCCAAAAATCTGGAAAATAACTAATTCCCGTGCCACCGGTGTGGTCTGCACCACACCAGGGTGTGGTAGGGGCTGTTTTGCTGATTTTGTGCTTGTTTCTTCAGTTTTTGGTATTTTGGCTATAACTTTTGCATCCTACCTCGGAATGAGGTAATTCAAGTTGCATTGGAATCCTGTTGAAGATATCTACAACTTTCATCGACCTTGGAATGAGGTGATTCAAGTTGCATTGGAATCCTGTTGAAGAGATCTACAACTTTCATCTTTTGAGTTTTTCTTGATTCAAACTGCATCATGGTCGAAATTCCAGTTCTTCATACTCGTGCATCCATTTTCTTCACGAACCATGCCTTCAAAATCTTGTTGTTGCTTCAAACTCTTGTAAAACTTCCAACGATCATCAAATCTTTCAATCTTGAGCCAATACCTACATATAAGAACACAAACAACAGCAGTATCCTCGATCTAAACACGAAATATGCATTAAACACTCGTAAATCATGCTTAAAACACACTAAGATAATGCATATTTTACGTGTTTATCAACTCCCCCAAGCTTAGACTTTTGCTTGTCCTCAAGAAAATAGACAATAAAGAAAATAGGAGGAGTGGAAGCCAAATAGAGTAGGGATCACCCCCTCATCAATCCTTTAACCAATATCAAACATATCACAAAACAAATACTTTTCATCGGGACTTAACAAATTAATTTCCAAAACTCTCAACAAAATCACATTTCAAAATTTATTTACGATCACAAGCGTCACAAGTCAAGGATAGCCATCCTATCCAATTCTCAAGTCAAAGTAGGAAAAAGAAATTCATGTAACTAGCTTCAATCCCAAAGTACTAAAATTGAGACCTTCAGGTAGTTAAATTGGTAGACCTCACTTTAGGATAAGTGGACTCTCAATCTCTCATGTATTTAAGGATGAGATTGTATCGCTCAAAATTCTTCCGAATGGATGTATTCAATCCATAAGCTTGCATTTCATCTCAATTCTCCACCACTTCGAAAACTAATGCATGCAACAAAATCATGAGGTCTTTTATTGGTTGTAACGGGGCTAGGGTCAAAAGGTAGGATATATATTTGGAATTGGTTGAAAGCCTATCACTAGTGGAGCTATGATTGCAAAAGATTATATCTCAAAGTAAGATCAATGACATCTACACAAACTCCATCATCTATTAAAGAACTTCTTCCAACTACTCCTTTTAGTATGCCATAATGAATTCTTTCGACACCCGCAATTACATACACCATAAAGATGACACTTTATTCATCTTTTTTTTTCGAATTAGTATTTTTTTTCTTTTTTTTCGAAAGAATTATGAAAAGGAAGCAAACGCCTACTTTCACACCCCCAAGCTTACACCACATTACTCACATAACCCATTGTATCATAAAATGTGCTCCACTAGCTTAGGCAATGGGTAAGGAATAAAATCGGATTTTGAAGGTTACATATGTGGGTTTAATCAACAAAATTAGGCTCATAGGCTCAAGGGGGCTAATCAAAGGAAACAATAGTGCATGGTAGGCTATTTGGCTAATGTGGACTATAAACAAAAATGTGCCTCAATCACCTTTTATGCATACAAAAGTTATATGTGGCCTTGAAGAGATTCAATGCAAGTTCTAGTATCCTACACCATTGGAGAATATCACACAAGCAAAGAAAATAATGATTGGATATGCAATGCATCCAATTTTCAGGCTCAAAATCTCACGGGTTTTATTTGTCTACCAAATTTAATTCCCCTCTTGTCTCAATAGAGTAATGGTTATGATGCTAGCCACATAAACGCTAAAACCTATAAGACAAGAGAACATTCAAGTCTGGTTCTCCCATATTGTTAACTTATAATCAAAAGCCTTTGAAAATCAGTTGAAAGATGGTATAAGAAGTTGTCAAGTCCCAATTAATGAGCATCTATCTAGTTCAATGATCGATAAAGGTTAAGCATTCATGTCATCATCAGGAAATCATTTCCCTATTTTGGTTTTTTTTTTTTTTTTTTTGAAAGAAGGAACAAAGCAAAAGAAAAACTAAAATAAAAGAAAAATAGGCAATTATAGACAGGCAATCAATGCATGAACAACCCACACCCCCAAGCTTAAGATCGACATTGTCCTCAATGTAAAAAAAATAGAAATTAGTGCAAGGGTGCAGGAAACATACCAACTCACTAGTCAGAAGGAGGCGGCGCGGCATTGCCACTCATGAAAAGACTGCATCAATTTGCGTT